CTTTTAGAGCCTAGTGCAGAGCGATCTTAAGTCATTCAAATTAGTAGCCCTACTGCAACCTGATCTATAATATTTGATTATCTGTAGAAGACTATCATCTGATGTGGAGTTATGTTGCACTACATAAATGAACGGGTTCATATGGAAATCATATTTTTATTACTATGTCCATATTTTCATTTTTTGAACTGTATCAACAAAAAGGAGTGGATATGGCTACTACTACGTACTACTGTCACAAGTAGTACGAAATTTATGCACGCTTTCGAAACAAGTGCAATCGTGAAATATGCTTCCACCTGAATTCGGTTACGATATGTTGATATTTTTGTTATCAGATGAGATTAATCTCAAAAAATCGACAAGTCAATACTATTTCGGGTAGCATAAGACTGCCTAAATAACCCGAATTTGTGAACTGTAAACTAAACTTCCCCGATTGGAGAGAAAAAACAACAGTGCAAGCGTTAGCAATATTACTAGTCATCACACCCTCTTTCATGGTTTCTAGAAACTTAGTAAAAGGTGATATCAAGCTTGGTAATGAGATAGAAGACATACAAACTGGATTACATTTGATCCTATTTACACTTGGGAAAAATAATTATCCTAAGAAATCCCATAAACATATTGAGAAAAATGAAAGATAACTAAATCAGAGCGTTTACTAAAAGGACGAAAAAAAAACACTGATCATCCCATATTGTGAATAAAGTTCGAAATAAATATGATATAAAAGTTTATTTTTGAGCTAGTGATAACATTAGATCAACATTAGTGAAGTGAAGGATAAGATACCAAAAGAAGAACAAGTTAGGTGTTATGAGTGTAATTCAGTATATGTAAGAGACATCTAGGTATTGAGATGGTGAAGATTTGTAGCTCAGTTGGATGATTTGAACCTGTAAACAAGAACCAATCAACATAGAGGCCTACAGGACAAACTGCGAACCACATGTTGAGAAATTCGAATATTTCACTTCTACCTGAAGTTTGTGCTGATGGTATCGTTCAGAAGAACGACGTAAGCTCCACGACCAAACCATCCAGCTTAGAGAACAAAACTCCATCAAAATCTAGATAGTTCAGTATCAGGGTAGGAAAACACAAATAATGTTTGCAACATTCTCCTACATCCCCAAACTCAAGAAGCCTGATAAAGTTTAGAAATAGTACTACACTCAGAAGCAAAATCAAATTTGAAGGGACAAAAATTCTTTACGACGGTTTAGTTGCTGAATCAGAATAATTGTCTACTCCACGGTAAATGTTGACCAACAAATAAACACATTGAGCTTAGTATCCACCTCGCCTATACTACTTGAAGCATGATCCCGATAAAAACGAGCGCTTACTCAGTTATTTTTGAATTTATCCATGATAAACCTCAATTTAACAACACGGTTATATATGTGACCGGACCGATTTTACAAATACTTCAATAAGATTATTATACTCATACTTACTATTAGTTTTACAAAAAACAAAATTAAAATGTCCTTAGTCATATTTTCTAATATCAACAGAACACAGCACACATACACTCAAGCACTTTTCACATCAGATATTCTTTTGAAGTCACTACGCAAAATAAACATGTGAACTTGATTGGATAAACTTTTGACTTTGTTTTAAAACTATATATATATCCTTTGACGTTGATTCGATTATTTTCTTGTAGAAGTTCGAACTTGTTTGCCAATTGGAAGGTTGGGACCGTTTAATTTTCTGTCACTGATGTTACTTCAAATATAATCTTTAAATATGTCTACTATGTCCATGGTTTATAAAATTATATCTAATTGTTATTTTAATAAAATCCCGAAAATAAAATTTTTATAAGGCATGAGCATTATCTGAGAAATATTTTAGCGACTATACATTATAGTCAGTCAAATTGTTTAAAATTGAAAAAATCAACCTTCGTGCAATTTCTTTAAACAGTGCATACAGTGTTGAATTCCATAAGCCACATTTCAAGATAAGGTTATTTGTTCTTACATCAAACTAATCGTGTAGATTTTAAACTTAATGTACAAACAAGTGCTATATAGCTTTCATATGAAGATGTTGAAGAGTTATTTTTGAGTTAGTGTGTTTAGTTCAGTCCTTTTACATATAAAGGTAATCATGGTTCTATCATACTGTTAAGTTCCTAGACTAGATAACGACTATATTCAATAAAATTTATATCAGATTCGGAAGGATTGTTGTTCAAGTTAATTGCTTTATTTAGAATCGAGTTTTGTGGTAAAATAAAATTCATTAAATAATATTTGTTAATTGTTTATTATAAAACCGTGTCTCCTTTAGCAAAGATCTTTACAAATTCTTTTTAAATTGTATGGTGAGCACATAGAACTCACTTTTGTTGATATCTAAATTATAGATAATTATCGTTCAAGTAAACTTACACACATACACATAAATAAATATGAACGTGTTTCATGACCGGAACGGATTAAATCTGGTCAGATTAAATCCTTATATATGTATATATAAGTTTATGTTAATCTTCGTACTTCTTCATATTCACAAACAAAAAAAAAACAACAACAACAAATGCACCAAAATATCAAACTAACTATCCTTTAGGGAATAATGAATTAACAAAAATGAGGAGATTAATTATTTCCCTTTCTGTCGTAAATCATTCATAAATATGATAAATTATAGTGTATTGTAATTTTACTGTAATAATTCAGTTATCATTTACCAAATTTTTCGAGTTAAATATTTAAAAGAAAAAAAAAACACAAATAACAGAAATATTCTTCGTAGCAAATAGATTATATTGAAGCAAAAAAAAAAAAAACAAACTATAAATCAAGGAACGTCTATTTGACTAAACCTAGAGTTTAAAGTATTAAATTGTACAAAAGGTAAATATTAAAATTGTATTAAAAGATTTCCATTTGATTAGTTGACAGATTTTAGTGTCTGTTTTAAATAAGCTGGATTTTCGGTAATAAAAAAATATATGACTAACAATGTTACGTAAACTGTAAACGCGGTTTAGTGAACCAATAACAAGTATAATATATCAGAAGGGGTTTTGTGGATATTATAGCAATTTTAATGGTTGAGATCATGAGTCAATTGAAGCTAGACCACCGTGGAAAACCTGGACGGCCGTTTCGTCCTATTATGGGACTCCTTGATTCGAATCTCGAGAGGGCGGATCGTGGATGCGCACTGCTGAGGAGTTTCACAATAGGACGAGATGGCCGTCCAGTGCTCCTAGGTTTTCCACGGTGGTCTAGCTTCAATTGACTCATGATCTCAACCATTATAATATTATACTTTAAATAAATTATATTTACAATGATTTGTAGAAATAATAGAAACTGTGATGAATTATTTATATTGATCGAAGAACATTGTTGCGAATCTCTGGATCTAGCTTTATTGTTGACTAACACTCATTAACAAACCGTGTTGGAAACCTTGAGGAAATTGACTTATCTACTGAAGATCCAGTCTGAACCACAGTTAGGTGTTGCCTTCAAAACATCGAGCGGATCACTAATCTGTATTTTCAAATTCACTGACTTTAAACCATACAAGTCAATAAACAACTATCCTTTTTATACGAATATTCGTCAAGATTAGAACGAATAGTTTGACAGAAATTGGGCGCCGAGTATAGAGAAGTCATTATATGTGAAAATTATATTTGAATAGTCTCAGCGATTGACATATGAAATAAAACAATAGGAATTATTGGGAATAAAATCGTTTTATTACCATAATCGTTTATTGTACTCATAAATTTCAATCGCTGAGATTATTCAAATATGATTTTCACATATAATAACTATCCTTTTTATCAAGTATTTCGCTATCATTTACACTTTGAGGTGTGCTTGTTATACAAATGTAGCGATAAGAACTATCTATCTATTTTTATCCACATTTATATGGGAGAAGGGGTTTAAATCATTTATCTTCATAATTATTCAACTTGTATTTCTTTCTCATTACAGTAATCATATCTATAGACTGTTTCTACTGCTTTTAACAACAAGCATTACATGATATTTTCTTGTTAGCTTTAATTATAGTAATTTTGACTGCCAGTTAGAGCTCAAATCTGCGATCTGCTAATCGTTATTTTCGGGGCTGTTCAACGATATTGTATTACATAACCACAGATCGAAATACAGCTACATTTTTCATTTATTGAATTGTAGTAGTTAACACTTGTGTAATTGTTATGAGTTTCTAAACAGTCAGTCATAGTCAGCAGGTATGTATATACATTGATCCGATTTACCACGACACAGCACCGCAGCGACATAAAACCGACAAAAGGGATTTGGAATATTAGTAGTATCGATGATAGCACATTTAGACACAGAAAATATGGCTGAAAAGGAGGGATGAAATAAGTCGATAGAATTCAAGAAAGTATGCTAAAACTCAAGATTTAAGAGAACATTTGAGCCAGTGTGAATGATTTGGATCAATTATTATATAAAGTTCCGAATTATTGATCACAATCATCATGCAGATCCAAAACGTTTTTAAAATAGTTGACTTATTAAAAATCAGAAACGGACAATTGCTGCTACCTCAATGTTTTCTATAGATCTCTCAATACTGAAGATGTGAGATTAGTATGTGTGGAAATAAAAGTATTGTTTTAAGAATGTACTCATAAACTTATTCACGGCTAAATGCATTTGGAACTGCAGTGTTTTTATGCTTACACAGTTTTCTTTTCTATATTTTATTCCGGGAAACTTCATCCTCTAACTGGTCAATTTACTCAAATCAGTTAACTTCTAAGTTTTGTATACGTACAGCTGAGTAACAAATTAAAAAAGGGAAACAAAAAGAATTACAAAAGTTTATATACAATTGAACACTATATACATGATGACAAAAGAAAATAATGGACTGAAAAATTCATCACTGAAATCGTATTGAGGATCCTAATTTAGAGTTCATAGCCAAAAAAGTCATGGAAGTTTATCATTAGTAACTGCCAAAATGAATTATGATGTGTCCATGTAACGTCGATTCAAAGACATGACTGTAAAGAAAAGATCAAGAAACCAGAAAAAATTAAACTTTTAATAAAAAGCATGGCATTTCGAGTTACAGTAATGCAAAAAATAAGCAGTGAGACAGCCCTACTTGTACTATATAGCTCATTCAACGCTCAGCAATGCTAAAGATAATTTCCCATCAGAACTAACTTTAATTTTCAACCCAGCTGCTTGGGATAAATATAAAACTAGTTCGATACTAGTTGATAGATGTTGTTATCTTGTTAGTTTTTAAATCGCGGTCCGCACGATTATCGTAACCGATAGTCCGAAATTATTTGAAATGGCGTAGGTGCATCCATTCTTTGTCTTTCGCCAAATTCTGGGTTTCTGAATTCTTCAAAACATTTTATATGCTTTTATTTCATTAATTTATACTTTCTTGGGTCGTATCTTCGATCTCCAGTAGTTTCAATTACCACTTGTACTGTTACTAACTCTACTATTCCGGGATTTGTTTGTGCTGATGGGATACGGCAACTTGAACTGATGTACCTACGTACCAAGTCCTACGTGCCATAATAACTGAATAAAACAATAACTGACCATTAAAATTAGTATGTCAACGCGTAGCTGCGATTAGTATAAGTCATAACCAAATGATTATGTGTACACAGCTAAGATGCTCATCATTCCTGGTTCGGTAAATGATTGCTGTATACAGAATTTCGAAGCACTTCCTATGAAAGCACAATCTCCCTCTTTTGTTTGCTGAAGTAGGAAGTTTACACGTTCACGGGACGACGTACTAAAATATCTGAATTCATCTTTGAATTTGTCGCAAGCGGAACACTTGTATGATCAAAAAACAGCCATTGAGAAATTAGTGTAAACAACTCACTAGAATAAGTGAGGTCAAGATCATTAAAGTATGGAACAATGAGGTGTATAGAGCTAACTGACGATAAGTTACCAAAGAACCAATATTACCATAAATGTTTTTCTCATGCATTGACTGGGAATTATTACCTTCCTAAAAAAGTGCTGTAAGAGCTAATATTGTTTATGGTGCAGATTTCATGCCATCGAAAGCATGACGCTATAAAATGGCCAACTCTTAAAATACTCGTATTACTACATTCATATCCTAAGCCACAAATACTGTGCATAGAGTATTGTTGATTAAAAATAACTAGTGTATTTTGAGGGAAAAAACTAAATAATACTGGTTTAGAAAGATCTATCTATAGAAAGCATGTTGTTTCATAACAATTTACTGAAATTTTTCAACTAAACTCCCAAAATGTAGATTTTCACCACACTATTGTAAAAACTTTTGATATTATACCAGGTATGAATCAATTAGAGTAGGTCATTAGGTAAATTAGAACCTTGCACAAACGCATAATACCAGGTACGTTGTCTAAAGTGAACGACAAATGTTGAACAGATGATTCAATTTAATATTTGACCAAACTAAGAAGCAAAAAGATTCGTTAAAAAACTTACCACTGGATACTGTAGGGCCCACGGGAAGTGTTCGTAAGCCAGTGCTGGTATCTACACTGGACAATTGAGCAACATTTTGGACAGTTTGAACACGAATCATAGAAGGTCCCATTCCAGGAGCGGCAATAACATGAACAGATGGTCCCATAGGATTACCAACAGTAATTGGTCTGGTTGAAGGATTAATAGCTCTAAATATATTTTTGGTAGGATTAACCGGGTTGGATATATGAAGTGTCATCGAAGAATCCCCAACGAGTTCAGATGAAGGATTCTATCGAATCAGAAATGAAAAATAGATGAAACAGGAACACTTACTAATATATTTTCTTTATTTCAAACACAGCTTCAATGAATGGGTAAATATTTCACCACACCTAAGAATAAAATGGACCATTCACACGGTCAGGAAGTCATAAAAAAGAATAAATTACAATGTACTGAGTGACTTTTCTACTTATTTAAAAATAAATCAAGTTTAATTCTGGTACTGTTTTAAGGTCTCCCTAAAATTTAAGTTATATTTACAGATGACAGTAATAGTACTTCACCGAAGCCTAAGTGGTAAAACCAATACGTTGAGGTCACCAATAGAAAAGAGCTTTTCGATCTTCATGACTTTAATGTCCAAATAGCATAACTATACAGCCTGATAGTATATCTACACATAGCACAAGCAAGTGGATTGTATGCATACCATTGGTGACATGTACTCTCTAATGGAGTTATAAAAACATTCGAAACACTAAAATTTGAAATAAAAGGATTTAGTGGATCATATTTGAATAATATCATCGCCTTGCACCATGTCATCAGTCAAATAATAGTCACAAAGAAAATCGTTATTTTCCACAGGCCTCTGGAAGGAACGTCCGCGATATTGCAAACACACCATCTCCGTTACTCATAGCTGCGTAAGTAATTATCACATCCAATAAAGGTGTTACACAGTAAGGGGAGTCAAGAGTTTACAATGTTGATTGAGTTATTAAGCATTTAAGTTTTGGGGAGTAGCAAACGAAATTCTATTTCACAACACATTCTATGAGCTCATACATAATCGTTTATCGAAGATCTTGAAAAATATGAAAATATATGTTTATAGTATTTATAATACTTTAGATAGTTGTTCAAGCTGATTCCGATTGGTGAATATAATAATATAAGAAGTAAATGACTAGGACTACAACTCCCATATTCAGACCTAGCGATACTTGTCTGCTTCTAACAATAAATGGAAAAAGTTTCGATCCCATGATCCACTTGGTTGATAATCAAACGAAGTGAAGAAACCCTTCTTTGTAGTAAGCTATATGAACAACGATGAATACAAAAGCCTAAATATCTTCATATATATAATACATTGGATCTTACTGTTTTTGCGTTGTCTGCACATGGTAAAAGTGAATAATTTGGAGCTGTGAGTGTGAAGCGTTCAGCGGGTAGACGAATGCCACAATGAGGACGAACAGCTGGTAGTGGCTGTTCATTTTTCTCAGCATAAGCTAGTAACTGATCTCTATATGGGGGTGCGAACATAAGTCCATCTGTGACTGAATTGATGGCTAGTTGTACGTCATCTTCCTCAATTTTCGGTCGACCGGCATGATGAGAAACAGCCTTTGCCTCTTCGATGACATCACATGTGTGTCCTACCGTATAAAGGCAAACTTTAAAACAAAACATACTATACAAAACGTCCAAAACCCGTGTACATATTTCATCCGAAACTTCCGAGACGTTAAACTCCGAAAATATCTCTCTAACAGCAGCTAAAGACGGAGGTAATACTTCATTGATATCTGTAGGATTTTTGTGTTCTGTCATTGATTTCTGTACTCCACACTACACCACGTAAAAATATTTGAAAAAAAAGTTACTAAGATTACTCTATCGTTTGCATCAGTTTGATGGGATTTATTTGAATAAAATAACCACAAAAATACTTATTTCAGGGAAATCATGGGACGAGATATGGAGCAATTTACAGGAGTTCAAACCTACCTTTATTCCTTACTGAGTAAAACTGTGAAAGAGCTATATTTTAATCTCATTTCTTGAACAAATATTACGTACTAGTCAACATTGTATGTAATATTAAACACAACGAATTGCATAACGGTAACATTAAGAGTACTAGTTCGATTGATATGTTTAATTTATAAGGACTATATTTAATATCAGGTAGCTATTTTATAAGGAATGAAACATGTGAAAACACTAGTTTGCTATACCTAACATCGGATGGGAAGTGATATCATCTCAGTATATTTTAAATAAACCATATTGGCATAAAATGCTATAATCAATATCGTAAAAATAAACAATATATTTGTAATACCCTAATGAGTAGAAAAATTAGGTTATCTGACGTTTCGTGACTTAGTTTAGGTCGCTTCTTCAGAGAATATATTACTTATAACAATCTACCCAATGCTCAATTTATTCGAAATTATCAAATATCGTAAAAAGTTTGTAACTCATTTATTTGAACACATAAATGCTGGTACAAGGAAGCACCAAAATATATATGCGCAACAGAATGAAAATGAAGTTGTGAAGTAGATAAAGGAAGGCGTGCATAATAAAAAAAGAATAAAAACGGATATAAATTAGTGAGTGTGAGTTAAATAATAATAATGAGAGAAACAGTTCAGTTACGAAAAATACAACCAGAAAAAATTCTTTCGGTTAAAGGAGTTACTCTCACTTTTAAGGAAAAAAGTTACATCACGATCACCGCTGGCTTCTATTCTGAAACATTTCTGATAACATCTCAAGCCACTTTGTTACACCATTTCTAGGACTCCAACCAGGAAGTCGTGAATGACTAACAGAAACCAGTTCTGTACAGCTTTCTTTCACATTACAACACCACATCATAAACTTGCCACATCTCCGCTTTTTCCAACCAGCCCCAGCGTCGGAAAATAATGCACGACGAGGAATTCTCTGAGACCATAATCGTAGGACATGTCCAAACCATCGAAGCCGACGTTCCAAGATCGTGACACCAATTGTATTATCGTCGCTGTACCCGAACACATGATGCCGAACCTCTACATTACTAACATGGTGTTGCCACTGGGTGTCAGCAATCCATCGGAGATAACGACGATCAAATACAGAGAGTCGTCTAACATCTTCAGCTCGGAGAGGCCAGGTTTCACAAGCTTAGGGAGAAACTACTCTCACCGACGCACTGTAGATCCGAAGTCACAGCATGACTAGCATCACGGAAGTGCTAAAAATGGCCCAGATTGGCATAAGCCGCTCTGGCTTTCACTATACGTGGATTGATCTCTGCACTCACGCCACAACCAGGACTTATGCAGCTACTCAGATACACGAACTTCCAGTGAATCAGAAGCGGCCCTGATGTCAAGAAACACCACGATTGTTGGCCTGTAATAAGTATGACGGTGTTCTAACATTTGGCGGGTGATGAAGATATGATCAATACACCCTCAACCAGAAAGAAAACCAGCCTAATCACAGCGTGTCAATCTCGGGTTTTGGACAATCTGCGAAGTATGAGGGAAGGCGACAATTTTTTCACAATCGGAAGTCTACTTGGGTGACGTAAACTCTTTTAAAATTAGAGACAACTATCGACTCATTTAACGATCTTGAAACACTCTCTAATCGCCAGACGCTCGTAAACAACTTAACCAGAAAGTCGCTAACATATTTAAGAAGTACCAAAGGCAAGTCATGCGAGCCTGCTGAGTTGTAGCGCTTCAAGAGTCAGAGTTCCTTTAGAACTTTCCCCTCGTTATGTGGTTCAGTCGTCACTGGCCATGGAGAACAAAACAGTCTGATCGATGATGTCGGGGAGGAAGACCAGTTGAACTGCCCCTCGAAAATCTCTGCCCATTGTCCAAGACGTCGACAGATGTTAGTGGCTGGCATCCTGTCATCCTCACAGATTGTTTTACTCACACCAGACTTATTGCTGCCAGTGGCTCGGATGAGTTGAAAGAGCCTTCGGGAGTTACCAGAGGCAGCTGCCACTTCCAACTCATTGGCACGATCCGACCACTAGGCTTCTCGGTTCTTACGCAAGGTTTGTTCAATTTCATTATGTAACGGTAGTCGATTGTGGTCGAACTCACGGTCACCCAGAGTAGACCGACGGGCTTCAATGAGTTGTAAGGAGTCTGAAAAAACGCAGTCCTTATAAGCTGGACGTTTCGTAAAGTCGCAAGCAACTACTCGCCATTTTCATAGTCCCATACAATTGCAACCAATCCACATCTATACACTTCGGTGGGGTGGTAGCTAGCCTTGAACCTAGCTCGGTTTGATATCTAATTTCAATAGAAGGTACAACCAACCTACTGACATCGATTCGTTTAGGACGACAAATTTGTTGGCACTGAAACGCAAGGTGACATTAGCGCAAATGAGGCCATAATTAGAATCCAGATAGGTACTCAAAAACGAGCGGCAGTCTCATATACAACCACACCAGTGGTAGTTGATCACAATGTGATCATTCTGGGTCCAGTCTTGAGATGAAGAGGGAGGACGCCAGGTAGCACATCGGCGATGACTGTGCCGATAGTTAGTGCTAGCTATAAACAGGTTGTGGTCTGCGCACAGTTGCAGTAGACAGTCCCTGTTATCTGACCTACGACTAACGAGTTCCGATTAGCCATTTAAACAACTCTCCACTGTGCCCAAAACCCCAACCTAAGCGTTCAAGCCTCCGGCTAGTACTACAATATCTGTCGAAAGCACTTTCTGTAGAACACTTAACTGGCAATAGAAGTCATCCTTGGTCGCATTCGGGCTGCAGTCCGTCGGAGCGTAGGCAAAGATAACAAAAAAAACATTGTTTCTCATGCCGATTTCTCACTTTGATAGAGCTTTTTAATCTGACAGCACGTAATCGACTGTTCATGGGGATCCAATCGACTAATGCTGCCTCAGCTCCAGCACATGGTACGACACGGTACGACATGGTACCTTCTTACTTACTTACTTACGCCTGTTACTCCTAATGGAGCATAGGCCGCAGACCAGCAATCTTCAACCCACTCTGTCCTGGGCCTTCTTTTCTAGTTCCATCCAATTCTTGTTCATTTTTCTCATGTCTATTTCCATTTCCCGGCGTAATGTGTTCTTTGGTCTTCCTCTTTTCCTTTGGCCTTGAGGATTCCATGTGGGGGCTTGTCTTGTGACGCGGTTGGGTGCTTTCCTCAATGTGTGTCCTATCCACTTCCAGCACTTCTTCCTGATTTCTTCCTCCGCTGGGATCTGGTTTGTTCTCTCCCACAGTACGTTGTTGCTAATAGTGTCCGGCCAACGGATCCGAAGTATTTTGCGTAGACAACTGTTAATAAACACCTGTATTTTCTGGATGATGGCTTTCGTAGTTCTCCAGGTTTCTGCCCCATACAGTAGAACTGTCCTGACATTTGTATTGAAAATTGTGACTTTGGTGTTGGTTGACAGTTGTTTTGAGTTCCAGATGTTCCTCAGTTGTAAATATGCTGCTCTTGCTTTGCCGATCCGCGCCTTCACATCTGCATCACATCCACCCTGTTCATCAATGATGCTGCCCAAATATGTAAAGGTTTTTACATCTTCCAAAGCCTCCCCGTCAAATGTGATTGGATTGGTGCACGCTGTGTTGTATCGGAGAATCTTTTCCCTTTGTGTATATTGAGACCTACTGCTGCTGAGGCTGTTGCTACACTGGTCGTTTTCTCCTGCATTTGTTGTTGCGTTTGGGATAGAAGGGCCAGATCATCTGCGAAGTCTAGATCGCCCAACTGCATCCTAGATGTCCATTGTATCCCGTGCTTCCCTTCAGACGTTGACGTCTTCATGATCCAGTCGATAACCAGGAGAAAGAGAAAGGGTGGAAGTAAGCAACCTTCCCTAACACCGGTCTTCACTTCGAACGACTTTGTCAACTGTCCTCCATGCACGATTTTGCAATGTAATCCATCATATGAACTCTGTATGATATTGACTATCTTCTGATGCACGCCGTAGTGTCGAAGAAGTTCCCATAGCGTTGTTCTGTCCACGCTATCAAATGCCTTTTCGTAGTCAATGAAGTTGATGTAGAGTGATGAATTCCATTCAATTGATTGTTCCACAATGATCCGTAGAGTTGCGATTTGGTCTGTACACGATCTATCCTTACGGAATCCTGCCTGTTGGTCACGAAGTTGGGCGTCTACGCAGTCCTTCATCCTGTTTAACAATACCCTGTTGAAGACTTTTCCTGGTATTGAGGGAAGAGTAATGCATTTGTAGTTATCACAGTTGCTGAGATCGCCTTTCTTCGGGATTTTGTTCAGAAGTCCTTCTTTCCAGTCTTTTGGTACTTGTTCCTCATCCCAAACCTTATTGAAAAGAATGTGGAGTATCCTTGCAGTCGCCGCTACGTCTGCTTTTAGTGCCTCTGCTGGGATGTTGTCCGGTCCTGCTGCTTTGTCACTCTTGATTTGTCTGATGGCCATGCTGATTTCTTCAATTGTTGGTGGGCCAACATTGATTAGGAGGTCCGTGGGTGCTGCTTCGATGTTGGGTGGGTTCAGTGGCGCTGGTCGATTCAAGAGTTCTTTGAAGTATTCTACCCACCTGTTTTGTTGCTCTTCAATGTTGGTGACTACCTCGCCTTCCTTGCTTATCACTGGTCGTTCTTGTTTGCGGCTATTTCCAGCAAAACCAGACAATAAAACACGGTTTCCAGATAAACGCATGTGAAACAGACTTTTCGAAGCGGCAGATGAAGAGCGAATATGTAACTGTTCGTTGTAGTTTTGAATACGGGTCTAGGATAGACAACAGATATCGATGTTAAGACATCCTAGAGACAGTCACACTTGTGTTGTCCGATCTGCCTTAACGTGTGAACGTTGAGGGAGGTTAGTTTAAATGGTTTAGGTGGTTTTAGAAAAACTGGTCCGGAATTTGTATTCGGTGGTAGTCTTGAACTTTCGACCAGCCAGTAACTTGATATCGTTTAGAAAGGACATGTATGAGTTGAAGAACAAAAGAATATATAAAATGGGGATAGAGGAACAGATAAGTGATGCATCAAAAAGTAAAAACGTTTGTTAACAAATAGTTTTGAGTATGATTTGCGAGAATGAGAATTAAACAGTGAGTTGTTTTTTTAGTTGCAGTCATCATTTAATTTGTGTGTGCTGGGATACTTCCCGGGTGCCCAATTCAGTCAGTCAGCAACAAAGTAGAACTTTGTACGTACGCACATCGAGTTGCCGTACCACATTAGCACAGAGATACAACTGTCGATTCAAATCCCATAGTGGTAGAGGTGGTAAAAGTATAAGCAGTAATCGAAAAGATTAGATGCCCAAAACTAGGCAGATGCTTTTCTTAGGGGGCTATTCCCCGAGTTTAACCAGAACACAACCGAGAAATATTTCTTTCAGCTAAGAAAGTTCATTTCACGT